TCTTCCATACTTTATTTCTATTTTATTTTTAACTGCTTTGATTTTCTTTACCTTTCAAAAATGTAACTTGACCTGGAGAGCTCTGCACAAGAATTCCAGCGTGCATGGACTGCTGGTCCTGTACGCAAATGGTAAATAAAATCTTGAATGCTAAGCCAAACACCAACAAGATTGTTTTTCTCACTCCCCCCAATTTCTCTGCACTGTTTTATATATCATGTTTGAGTTTGTGTGGTATTTTATCTATCAAATTCCTGAGGCATACTGATGGGTGAAGTGAAACACACACACAGTGTTTGGAGCTGGAATAGCACAAGTTGAGACAGGATCACACTGAAAACCCTTTGGGTGTGGAGTGAATGTGCATTTATGCACTCTTTGAAGAAACTGCAAGTTACAGCCACTGCAGCAGATTTACATCACGTGGTTTCACAGGACGTAGTCTGGACCTCAGCGCTGAGGTGAAGGAGAAGTTCAACCAGCTCTGCTTGCAGACCGGCATCCTTCCTGAAAATATTGTTCATCTTCCTAAAACCGGTACTTTTACATTGGTGCTGAAGTTCTACATAAAAACAGCCTGAAATATAAATTGATGTTACCTCACACTTTCCATGTTTCCTTCTACAGAGGAGTGTCCGCTTGAGTGTTTTGTCTGATCTGTTGTTGATCGTCTCACCGACACTGCATAAAGATCTGACACCATCTGTTATGGAAATGTGACTGAGCAACATCTGTAGCAGTTTTTACCAATAAAAATGCAAAAATCTAGAATGTTTTTCTTCATTATTCATCCTTTATATGAAATAAACTGAAGAACATCCATAACAACACGATTCACACGAGTATTTCACGATTCTCCACAGCTGTGATCACCATTTTCTTTGTGTATTTGTAATAGTTTTAACAATTTCTAGTGTTGGAAGGATAAAAGATGAATAAATAATCATCAGATGGACCCATTATGAAAATAGTATTTGCTTCATCTGACAGAGTTACCCTCAGCTCAAATAACTGTGACATTAAAATGCTGTTTACAGTCTAAGTGCCTCGTTCAGTGAATTTCACACACAAAACATTCATACTTCCATACCTGAATGTGTCCATACAAGTGTAGGACTGTCTCAGAAATGATCATTTGACTGTTAGATGGTTTTCCCTCCCTGAGCCTGGTTACGCTGGAGCTTTCTTCCTGTTAAAGGGAGTTTTTCCTTCCCACTCTTGCCAAAGAGCTCACAGGGGGTCATATGATAGTTGGAGTTTCCTCTGTTTCCTCGGTGTTGTTGTTCAGTCTTTACCTTACAATATAAAGCACCTTGAGGCGACTGCTGTTTTGATTTGGTGCTATATAAGTAACATTGAATTGAAATTATTTTTTTAATTTATTTGCTAGTTTACATGAGCCAGCGTGTCTCAGGGGAAACAATATTTAGACCTTTGTTATTTGAAGCCAAACCTGGCTTATTATTTAGTTATTATTCTCCCTCTCTTAACCACGCTCTCTTACAGTTTCCTCACCATTTACCCATCTTACCACGAGGTAAGCATGAGTCTTTATCTGGAGAAATAGTGTGTGACAGTGTGCATAGATGTGAACACTGATTTTCACTCATTTGGATTCATTAACATGCATCAAGGAACAAACAAAACAGGTTGGAGCACATTTTATAAATCTGACAATAATTTTCATGTTGCAGTTATTTGCTGCAGCCCGATGTCCCCAGCAGGTCCCTGAGGTCCTCTGATCAGGGCTTACTTGCTATAAAACAGACTAAGGTGAGAACTAATGGTGACAGAGCTTTTGCCACTGTGGCCCCGACACTGTGGACTCTCTCCCTGAGATATTAAGAACTGTGGACTCGGTTGTTGTTTTT